TCACTTAGTCATAAGTAAGCTTAGGACTGAACACACATACTTACACACAGACCACTGTGCTGACCCACACTGGTAAGAACGTATTTCCTGGCGTGTTGCTTAAATTTTTGCTAAAGGCTGCCATATATTTTGAAACATTCACACATACCCTGTGTTCAACTTAATGCAGACAAAAAGCTTTAAATGATTAACCATCTTCTGGAGTTTTTCCATTCCCACTTGTAGATCCATTTAAACAATTAATTAGGTGCTTGAAGAATTTATACCTCTATAAATAGTTTCTCCCTCCTCACTGCCCTCTCTGCCTTTTTTGGGAACCTGTCAATTTACTGGAGAAGATGATAATTCCTTGTCCTGCAAATATGGGCCTTTGTGCTAGTGATAAGTTTCTTTAAAATCTCTATATGGAAAATGGCTGAGGGCATAAGAGTTGCACAAGGGGAAATTTGAAATGAAGCCAAAAGGTTGCATATTTGCACTGCAAAGGGGATGAGGGAAGACCAAAAATGTTACCATTTTAATTGTTTTACAGTCATTTCAGGTATGTATTACTATTTCATCTTAGTAAATAGCCATACTGAATATGCAGATGTCACTCAAATTTCATACTTGAATGATATCACAGACATTCATATTATCTGAGCTTTATCATTTTGATCATACTACAGCTTACTGTACCCTTACTATGCCATAATACCTTTATTTAGTCTAAGATATTTGCATTTGCATTTTTGTACATAAATGCTGGTTTCTGACATTCATTGATTCAACAACTATTTAGTGAGCCATTGCTGAATTTGGAGCTTCTAGGCATGAAGAACATAAGGAGAATAGGATTCATTAACATCGTGTGATTTCTTATTTCTCACACCTGTAAGCACCTACATGATCTGGGCCAGCCCCTCTCTCCTACCTTTTTCATTCCCACCCTTCCTCTTGACCTATGTCGTACAGCCACACTTGTTGTTCCCTGTAAATATTAAGCTGTTTGTACCCCAGGGCCTTTGCACTTGTGCTCTCCTCTTCCCATAATGCTCTTCTACCAGGTCTCCTCCTCACTTCACTCAGGTCTTTGTTCAAATACTACTTCCTTAAAGACAATTCTATTTAAAGGTAAAATCTCTTTCCCCCGTTCCTCCTCACCCTGCTTTATTTGTCTCCTGAACATTGCTCGCCTCTTGAAGTGTTCTATCTTTGCTTATGTTTTCTTTTGTGTCTCCCTTGGTAGAGCTTGGGCAGAAAGTTCATCTTTTTCAGCAATGTATCCCTAGAGCCTAGAACAGCTTGGCCTGTAACAGATGTTTGGGGAATGAAGGAAGGAAGGAAGGAAGGAAAGAAGGAAGGAAGCAACTGGCTCTGGCCAGTCTAGGGTGCTCCATGAGCCAGCTTTGCTGGAGTCATTATGGTTCCCTGTCAGATCCACGGCCCCCGGTCCCAAGCCTCCCTCCACCTTCCAGTGGGGCTCTGTCTGTGAATGGCACTCTCAGCTACTCAGGCTCCAAACGTGGCCATCACCTCTCATTCCTCCCTCCCTCTACTCCCACATCCAACCTACTACCAATTCTGGTGACACTGTGGCCTCCTGCATCAACTCCTTTTTCCCTTCATCCTTACAACCACCCCAGTCCATCCTCTCCTTATCTCTTACCTATACCCCTGTCATTGTTTCCTACCTGGGCTCCTTGCCAGCAGGCTCTCCCCGTCCAATCTGTTCTCCACGGGGCAGCCAGAGTGAGTTTATCCTAACGGTCACGTTTTGATCATGTCTCTCCCCCACTTAAAAACAAAAGACCAATCCCCTGGCTTGGCACTCAATGCCCCCAACAACTGCCTCCACCTCCCTAGCCAGCCTTCCTTCTCACGGCTCCTCTTTTATCCTTTTTGTACTGGTTGGAATGAACCACTTTCCAATTACTACACATGCTCTACAAGCCCCCACTGCCTACTCTCTGCTTATGCTGCTTCCACTACGTGTAATCGTTTCATTTAGACCCAGCTCAAACGCCGAGCTTCTCCAAGAAGCCACTTCTGATCGTCCAGAAGAATAAACTCCTTCTCAATTCTGTCCAAGGGGTCATCTGTCTCTCTTTTAGGACCGGTCTTGGTAAAGGACAGGCAACGAAAGAGTTCAGAATCAGTAGTCAAATGACCTGAGCAGGAGACAACTTTCTGGCTCTGAGACTTACAGAACACATCCTTAGACAAACTGCACTCTGAGTCTTTACTTCCCCAGGTATAAAATGGGAATAATAACACTACTGATATCAACAGGATTAAGTATAAGTGACAGAGTGTAAGAAAAGCTTTGACTGTACATAAATGATCAAATTCAATCACCCTTAAGTGCAAAATAACTGATAAACACAAGTGCGACTTCACCCAGGGAGGTTCATGGATGTCCTATGCTGGCCAAGCCGAAATCCAGGAATAGGTCAGTGGGGGAGTGATATCTTGCAGGAGAGGGGCTTTGAGGCTCTAAAATCGCATGTCCTTGGGCAATCTGAAGAAGGGAAGAAGTGGAGGGGTAGATCCATAAGGCTAGGGCCTTAATGGTATTAATAGCTACCGATTCGGGAGCTTTTTTTTTATGCCCCAGGCACTGTGCTAAGTACCCTACATAAATGATCTCATCTCATCTTATTCCCTCGCAGAGTAATGGAAGAGGAAAACCAGGCCCACAGCAGTTATATAAATAAGTGCTGCCCTCCCTCTTCCAACCCCCCCGCAACAGTTTAGAACTAAAAGATACCCTGAAAATCCCCAATCCAATGATCTTATTTTTCAGATGGAGAAATCGCTTCCCAGAGAGGATTCACTGAAATTGTCCAGCCCATGAGGAGGACACTGGACCTGGAACCCAGACTCTTCACTCTTTGGGTGAGAGCCACGGCACTGCAACCACCCAGGGGCCACTAGTCATTACGAAGTCTATGTCAGTGGCACTTCTGGAACACAATGCCGTTTACATGGATGACAATGTGAGTAGTGGCCCCTGAAGTTATGCCACCTGGTCACCGTGGTTCTGCTCCATGCCAGGTTGCTCCTCCTACCCAAGAAGGAAGCTCCTGAGACAAGAGCCTCAGGCCCCTAGAGACTGAACATGGCCCTCCTTGCCAACTCCCCCAGCCAACAGAGTCTTCCTCAAAGGTGACTGACTTCATCCATTCACCATCTAGCTTGCATTCCTTCAACATGCCTCTCGGGGCACCCTCTCTGCACCAGGCATCAGGTTCGGCTCTGGGGACACCCAGCTGCCCTTGAGGGAGCCACCACCCAAGCCTGGTGAGGCTGTAACTTAAGCTGCCCCAACAGCTCTGTCAGCGACACCAAGAGGCTGCCCTCCACAAACGTCAAGGAGGGAGAGGTGGCCAGACATGAGAGACTCAGGGGCCCTCTACACAGGGATGATGAAGGGAGCCTGGTTGGAATAGAAGACCTAGCCCTTAAGGAAAAGGGGAGAGGGAGGGAGAAGGCATGCAGTCAGGTCAAAGTGGGGAGGGAATGACTCCTTGACCATGAAAACACCTGGTCCAACTGAGGACACTGCTCAGTGACTCCTGGGAGAGCCAGGACTAACACCCTGGAACCTGATCTCCTGACCAGGACTGCTTCATTCTCCCAAACTAAATCTCAAACCTGGACTGCTTGCTTAAGAGAGATCTCCTTTGAGACTGAAAGAGAAAAATTAAAGGTTAACCCCCCCCCTTTTTTTCTTCCTTTCTTTCTTTTTTTTTTTTACAGTAAGGATGGTAGCAAATGAAAGGCACCTGCCACTCCAAATGGGGGGCAGGGCTGTAATTACAAAGAGTTTCTTGATACACTCCGGTAAAATTTTGGGTTCTGGGGCTTCAAAGAGGATAAGGTTGGAGTTCTATAGGAGAGGAAATGAGTATGAAAGCCAGGGACACTAGATTCTAATGTAGGCTTTGACACTAACTCTCTGGTGACCTTGGTCAGCCACCTCACTGGGCCTCAGTTTCCCCATTTGTAAAATGAGGGGGTTAAATGAGTTTTCAAGGTTCACCTGGTCTTGACCCTCTAAGCCACAAGATTCTTGGTAAGGTAAGTCTCTCGGGGCTCTGATCTGAGCAGTCTCCAGGTTTTGCAGGATCCTGGGCCTCATCCAGGAAAAGGGGGGATGCTGGGGGAGGGGAACGCGCTGGGCTTTTATTTTGGAGGTGGGTGGGGAACGAGTGGTTTAAGCTACACGGTCCGGGGGAGGCGAAGCGAAGGCTGGGAGCTACAGTTTACAGGCCAGGAAGCTAGCGGCGATCTCCAACCTCCCCCCGCCAGAGCTTCAGACCCTGGAGAGGTGATGCAGCCAAGAGCCGCGCACCAGCCACGGCGGCAGAGGCTCCGACCCCGACCACCATCCGGATCCCACCCCTCCCTCCCCAGAACCGCGCACGAGCTTCGTGGGGAGTGGCTGCTGCTCCCTCCCAGCTATTCAGCGCCGGTTCCCCTCCCGGGCGTGGGGGACCCTTCCCCCAGTCCGGGGGCGCCGTGAGCCCCATGGGGGCGTGGCGGGGGCGGGCGCCGGCTTCCCAGCCCTGGGGTCTGGAGGAGGTCACAGTTGCGGGGCCTCCCTGGGAGGGACCCCGCGCCCTCCACCTTCTGGCTCCCTACACAAAGGCGCCGACAGAGACGCCGCACTTACCAGCCAGAGCGGGCTCCGGGCGCCGGCGAGCTGGCGGGCAGGCTGGCGGGAGGATGTGCGCGCGCGAGTGTGCGTGTGTCCCTGTATATGTCTGCGCGAGTGTGTGTGTGTGTGTGTGTGTGTGTGTGTGACAGGGACCGCGCCGAGCTCTGTGCGTCTGCGTGTGCGGGGGCGTCCGTCCGTCGGTCCGTCCGCTCGGCGCTCCGTCCCGCGCTCCGTGCGCGCTCCCTCGCCCAACCGCCCCACCAAATGTGCTGGGGCTGCGGAGTTGCCGGCGCAGCCGCGGGGTCCGCTCGGCACCCTCAGCCCCGGCTCCGCCCCGCCCCCGGGCGGGCTTGCGCCGCTCCCCGGGAATTGCGCAGGGCCCGCGGGGCTGACGGGCGTGGGGGGCGGGGAGCTCCGGCGGCGCCCAGGGCCCGAGAGGGGCCGAATCACAGACCCTTAATCCCCAATCCGGATCTCGGGCGCCCCCACCCCCCAACTTCGCTTGGAGTCCCCGCAGGCGCCGCCCCCGCGCTGAGGTTGCCTGGACAGGGAAGGCGGGGGAGCGGGAGCACCGCATCCATTTCATTCATGATTTTCTCCTCTTGGGAGCCCCGGGCCTGGGCTGCGCCGCTACGGCAGCCGCCAGAGGGACCCCGGCGGGGCAGTGCGCGCTCAACCCGGTGCAGGACGGACAGGCAGGCATATAGAGGTAGGGGAAGCGAGACAAAGGGGTCATAGCCGGGGGTGGGGGGGGAGTTCCATGGAGGGGGTGCTGTGGCGCTCTGTGAATGTTGCCTTCAGGAAGCCGTTGCCACACATGCACAAGCGGAGTGGTTCCATACCGGGGAGCACACAGTGCCGGGTGCACAGAACCCGCTCCAGGACGACTCGGAGAAGGCACTCGCCTTGCCACCTTTCCTTGTTCAGTCTCTGAGGAGCAAAACCTCCCTCCACCACGTCTCACTCTGCTGGCGCGTGCCCCGGGGCGCGAACCTGTCTAGGCTTTCTGGTGGGCACCAGGGGTCCGTACGCGCAAGGAGCTGCCCACGCGCCCCATAGTCCAACATTCCCCAGGCTGGCACCTCACTGCCATTCCATCCTGGCGGGGGATTTTTGAGACGTTAGGAGGCACGCAGGGCCACGATCCTAAGCTTCGTTTCTATATGGGGAAACCCAGGCTCACCATCATAGCGTCGCCGTCCTGGTTCTAACCATCGTCCTCTTTCGCCTGGATTTCTGCAGTAGCTCCTTACTGGTCTCCCTGCTGCCACCCTTGCCTCCTGCAGTTGATTCTACGCAGCAGTCAGAGCTATCCTTTTAAAACATAAGTCAAATCGCTCCTTTACTGGAAATCTTACAGTGGCTCTCCAGGCATCCAAGTGAAAGCTAAAGCCCCTATCATGGCCTGCAAGGCCTCCCATGAGTTGGCTCCCTTTTATTTCTCTAACCTCACTTCCTTCCATTCCAGTCACACGGGCATTTTAATGCATCACCAACATGGCAGCCACCCTGTGGCCTCAGGACCTTTGCACTGCTATTTTCTCTGCCTAGAACTTTCCCAAGTTAGTCACATGGCTTGCTCCTTTACCTCTTAACTGTCACCGCAAAGAGGCCTTTCATGACCACCCTATTTTTTTAATACATATTTTTATTGAAGTATAGTCAGTTTACAGTGATGTGTCAGTTTCTAGTGTACAGCATAATTCTTCAGTTGTACATCAACATAAATATATTCGTTTTCATATTCTTTTTCACCATAGATTACTACAAGATATTGAATATAGTTCCTTGTGCTATACAGTATGACTTGTTTATCTGTTTTAGACATATATGTTAATATCTGCAAATCTCGAACTCCCAATTTATCCCTTCCTACCCTCTTCCCCTGCTGGTAACCATAAGTTTATTTTCTATGTCTGTGAGTGTGTTTCTGTTTTGTAAATAAGTTCATTTATCTTTTTTTTTTTTAGATCCCACTTATAAGTGATACCATATGGTATTTTCTGGTTTCATAATTTTCTTTTGTATTAGCTTGGGTTTTTTTGTTGTTGTTTTTATGACTCTATTGCATGGTTTTGATTTGTGGTTACTTTGTTTTTCAAGTATGTTAACCCTTTACTATATCTGTTTGCTTTAGACTGGTAGTCATGTAGGTTCAAACACATCCTAAAAAGAATGTAGAAAAAAAAAAGAAAGAAAAAGGAGAGAAAAAAATCTATATTTTCTTCCTCCCCTCTCCTACCTTTTATGATTTTGATGTCCTTTTTTTTTTTTACATCTTCATGTTTATTCTCTTGTAACTCATTGTAGTTACCACATTTCTGCTTAAGGTTTTCTTGTTTCTATAGCTTCATGCTTCTTTTCTATTTAGAGTAGACCTTTCAGTATTTCTTTTAGGATAGATTTAGTATTGCTGAATTCTTTTGGTTTTCCCTTGTCAGTGAGATTCTTTCTCTCTCCTTCTACTCTAAAGGATAGTCTTGCTGGGTAGAGTATCCCAGTTTGCAGTTTTTTCTTATTCAGGACTTTGAATATATCTTGCTATTCCCTTCTGGCCAGCAGTGTTTGTGTAGAGAAATCAGCTGATAGCCTTATGGGTTTCCCTTGGAACTAACTCTTTGTTTTTCTTTTGCTGCCTTTAGAATCCTTTCTTTATCTGTAACTTTCTTTATAATTAACTTTTAATTATAATATGTCTTGGTGTAGGTCAGTTTGGGTTCTTGTTTGGGACCTTTTGTGCTTTCTGTACTTGGATATTTGTTTCCTTCTTTAGGTTTGTAAAGTTTTCAGTCGTGATTTCTTCAAATACTTTTCAATCACCTTTTCTTTTTCCTCTCCTGGGACCCCTATTATGTGTAGGTTGGCACACTTTATATTATCCCATAGCTCCCTTATATTGCTTTCATTGGTTTTTACTTGCTTTTCTGTCTGTTATTCTGTCTTCTAAGTCACTTATTCATTCCTCTGCATTATCTGGTCTGCTTTTGACTCCCTTTAGCTTGGCTCTTATCTCAGCCATTGAGTTTTCTGTTTTTAATTGGCTCCTCTTTATAGTTTCTGTTTCCTTTTTATAGTATTCTCTGTCTCTATTCACAGTCTCTCTTACTTCCTTCAGTGCTTTTATCACCCCCTTTTTGAAGTCATGATCTAGTAGATTGTCGAGGTCTATCTCATTGTTCATTCTTTCAGTGGATTTCTCTTGTTCTTTTAATTGGGAGTGGTTCCTCTGCTTCTTCATTTTACTTATATTTCTCTGGCTGTATGGGTTTAGGAGTATCAGTTATCTACTGTGGTCTTGAAGGGCTGTTTTTCTTGTTTGTTTGTTTGTTTTTATTTAAAGTGGGAGTGTTCCTGTGTAGACTGTGTGCATCTAATAGTTTTGTTACGAGGGCTGTTTTTAGTAGGGATGGTTGCCACATCTTTCTTCCATGCGTGTTGGCTGTTACCCCTTTGACTGGGGATGTGGCTGGTGTTGTGATATTTATAGGCTGCCCTGATTGTTGTTGTTGAGCGGGGCCTCTTTTTTGTTCTGTGGTTGTCACAGCCTTAACAGGGACCAAGTCTGTTCCCCTGTTGCTGGAATAGAGGCTTCTAGACCCATTTCTGAGCTGTGGTATGTGGTAGGCAGGGTTGGAGCGCATCAGGTGGGAAGAGAGTCACTGAGTATACCTCTACAGGAGATGTCCACTGGGAAGTGCCCTCTGTGGTGTTGTCTGTCGCTTGTTATGCGGGCTTAGAAAGTACTCTTTGTTGACGCTGCCTTTGTCCCCACCTTAGTTGTGGGAATGTTGGCCACCCACTCTGGTGTCCCTCAGGTTCTGGACCTCAGGAACCACCAGGGCGGATCCGCCATTGTCAGGTGCTAGGGCCCACTGTAGTGAGCATACAGTCACACACCCGAATCTGTGGTGTGCTGCAGGGTCAGTGCAGACCCCAGCCCCACCTCCAAGTATGGTACAGTACGCCGGCATGCTATATATACCTGTACTTGCCCCCATTGTGCACCAGAACTCCACTCACTGCCTGTTCATCCCAGAGGCGTGGGTCCACAAAGGGTCCAGAGAGAGCAAATCCACCCTCTCTGCCTGGGGCTGTAAACAAATCTCAGTTCTGCCTGTGAAGTTGCAGGGCCACTGGGTATGGATTCAGCTTTCAGCCCAGCCTCTGCAACAGCAATGGTTATGACCAAGCCCCACCTCTCTTTTCGCGAGAACACACCAACAACAGAGCCAAGTGGAGTCAGGGGCTATGACACTGCTCTGCTGCACCCCTCCACCCCACACACACCAGCAGTAGTGCTTTTTTATGAGGGTCCTAGGCTGTTCTGTTCCGCACACACCCTCAGCCAGAGCTCACACCGCCCTCCAGTCCCCTGAGGCTGCCTCTGTGCAGTGGGCCCAGCCGCCTCCCTGGGCTCCTCACCGATCTCCAGCAGCCAGTCCCGACTTGCCCTCCTGGCTTGCGTCTAGGGCTGGGGATCGCAGGGGCCCTCCGTGCCCATTTATCTTAGTTCTGTCTGCCAAGCGGCTGCTGCTCTCCCCTCCAAGCCTCAGAAGCTCTGCTTCTGTCCCCTCTGACTTCCTGGCTGGAGAAGGGGTGTCCCAGCGTGAGGGTGCCTTTCTTTCTTTTCTGCTCCCTCCCTGCAGGACTGGTCTTGCTCCGATTTTTTTCTTTTTTCCTCTCACTGGATTTTGTGAGAATCTTCCTGTGTTTCGAAGCAAGAGACACTGCCACATTTCAGTAGGTGTTCTGTGCGATTCAGTGGGTTTGTAGATGTAATTCTTGGTGTATTTGTGGGAGAGAGCGAGCTGTGAGTCTCTACTCCATCATCCTGGCACCTGCCTCTAGAAGTTCCACCCTATTTTAAGTGCAGGCCAATTCCCCTCATTTTCTCCATGATAGTCATGACCTTTATTTTGTTTTCCCTGCTCTGAAGGCTCACTGGCCCTTCAATTGAGCTCTCACCTTAGTCCTCTGGCATCCTGGTTCTCCAGCTTTACCACACTATTCTGTTCTTTAAATCCTGTGTTTTCTTGTTTCTAGACTTTGTTCATGCTGTGCTTTCAGCCTGGAATGCCATCTCCCCATGTCTCACCTAATTTTAAAGTTCCAGTTCAAATTCCTCCTTCTCCATAGAGCCTTCTCTCATATTCCCAAGGATGCTCAGACCTCATTCCTTTCTGTTTACTGTAATCGCAGTTTGTTGTCTTTTCACCCAAGTGTGCCATGAAGTCCTGGGGTAGGGCTGTGTCTCCTCTCTCTCCAGTTACCAGCACAGAAGGCACTATCAATACATGTTTTGGACACAGGGCAGTGAATGGGCAGCCCTGGGCTGAGCCTTGATTATCTTTTTTTTTTCCCTAGGAGGGGCACAGAGCCCAGCTGGGTCTTGTTATCCATAAGTAGTTTCCTGTGGGACAAGGAGAAGGATCAAATGCTAGATAACCAGGCCATGGTGCTTGGTCTGTCTGAAAGCTTGGGTAGACATGTCAGCCAGTGCTCAAGGGCCTGCTCTCCCCACCTGAAAGCATCATCTCTGTCATTCAGCATAGAGCTGATTTTTCCCAGACAGTGTCAGTGTGACAGTATCAGCTACCATAAATGAACATTTAGTAGCTGCTGGGCACTGTCTTGTATGCTTTCAATGCACTATTTAATCTTCATGGCTGCTTTGCGAGGCAGGCATTTTGATATCACAGTTTCAGAAGAGAAACCAGAAAGAGTAAGTGACTTACTTAAGGTCCTACAGTAAATATGTGAGGGGTGTGTGTTTCCAGTTAGGATTTAATTAATTCCAAAGCCCAAGCTCATAGCACAGAGACCCTCGTGGCTGATGAGGTGAGGGAGCCTCGGCAAGGTCACCCTGACTCAGATTCTTGCTGAAGCCAGCATGGGAGTCACAGAGGCATGGCACTCCAGGAGGGGCGGGACCTTGCAGATTTCTGTCAGTGGTGCCTTTGATGCCCTATGGTAGAGGCTAGCGGTTACCCTTCATAAAGTCAACTTTAGAAGTCCGGAGCTGCCTCCTAAGCATTCCTGCCTGTGTGCTCTGGGTTCAAAGCCCAGCCCCAGAGGTCAGGTGTGAATAACAATGCCCATCTCAAAGGGTTGTGGCAAGGAAGGAGTGAGACAGAATACCTCAAAATAGTAGGGGGTCAAAAATTTTCTTTCTCCTTTGCTTCTTGTAGGGAGTTTCTATCACATGAGGATATACCTAAACTCGTCTTCTCACTCTGTTTCTGCCCTGTACACCCTCTTAAGTGTTCCTGCTTCCCCTAGTCCATTGAGTGTTGCCCTGGGGTGCAGTTAAGGAAAGAAAGTCTAACATTGAGGGCTTTACAAATAAGCTATCCATATTGCTTCTGTGTACTCTCTCCTTTCATCTTCGCAAGCACCTTAAAAGGGAGATTCTGTTATTACCCACGAGGAAACTGAGGCACAGAGAGGTCCAGGGCCTTCCCTGTGGCTCCAGTGCTCACTAATTAATGGCAGTAATGAGATTCCAACCTACATCTGACTCTTTGTACTCAGCGAGCACCCCTCTTCCCTAACCCCTTCACCATGGAAAGTGACCCCATCCATTTCCTTTCTCGTCTCTGACAAGAAAGAAGGAGAGTTCTGTGAGGCCCATGGCAATGAAGCAGTTGTGAGTTTAGGAGGATTTAGGCTTCTTGAGTCATTTTGTGTGACTCATTTACCCTCTCTTGATGGAGGGAGGAAGAGGGTTTTGGAAGAGAGAAAGATGGTCTGAGTAATCAGAGAGTGTCTTGCTGGTGGTTTTTGATGGACTATTAGAGTCAATATTTCTTGCTTTTGACCTCACTTGCGTTTCATTCTATCAGTAATGAAATGTTTTGCTTCAGTGAAAATGTTCCCCTAGCCAGATTTTTATTTATTTACTTACTTATTTATAACCTACCCCAATCCACAAAGGATTTCAGGTTGCTTACCACAGGAGAAGAAACCATAAAACAATGTTAAAATATCAATAAGGATAGAGAATCAGGACGAAGAAAAATGTAAATAAACTTGGAGAGACAAGACCGGGGCTTAATAATAACAGCTGATGTTTATTGGGTTCTTGCTGCATGCAAAGGAATTTGTGTACATTATTTCATTTACTCCTTTAAAAAGTCCTGTGAGGTAGGTGCAATTATTTTCTTTGTTTTGGGGTATAGGGAGCTGAGGCTCAGCTTAAATACAATGTTCAAGGTCACAGAGCTAGTAAGTGGTAGAGCCAGTCTTTAACTCTAGTTTGATTTTGGAACTGAGGCCCTCAACCACTGTCCTGTCCCACCTGTCCAAGGGACAAAAGACCACAGGGGCCTCTAGAGTACTGCACTTGAGCCTCAAATTCAGTTTTGATCTTCTTGGATATCAAAATGGAAGGGAACCACATAAACAAAAGAAAGGACAAAAATCACATGATCACCTCAATAGATTCAGAAAAAGCATCTGTAAAATTCAACATCCACTTATGATAAAAACTCTTACCAAAGTGGGTTTAGAGGGAATGTATCTCAACATACTAAAAGCTGTTTATGACAAACGCACAGCCAGCATAATACCCAATGGTGAAAAGCTG